GGATTCAGGCGCATCCGGCTCTCCAGTAGGATATCCAAGATCTCCTTAAGGTCGGGTATGAGCCGCTGGTCCGTCTGGCTTTTGACGATCATGTCATCCACATAGACCTCCATGTTTCTGCCGATCTGACCTTTGAACAGCTTGTTGACCAGGCGCTGGTAAGTAGCCCCTGCGTTCTTGAGTCCGAATGGCATGGTCCTGTAGCAGTAGGTCCCTTCCTCGGTGATGAAGGAGGTCTTATCCCGGTCCTCCTTAGCCATCTCTATCTGGTGGTATCCCTTAAAAGCATCCACGAAGCATAAAACATCAAAACCCACAGTAGAGTCTACTAACCTGTCGATTCTAGGCAGGGGAAAGCAATCCTTCGGGCAGGCTTTGTTAAGATCCGTGAAGTCTACGCACATCCTCCAGGTCTGGTCCTCCTTCTTGACTAGGACCGGATTGGCCAACCAGGTCGGGTAGTAGACCTCCAGGATGATCTTGGACTCCAACAGCTTGCCGACCTCCGCCTTGATCACCTCGTTCCTCTCAGGGGCGAAACTCCTTTTCTTCTGTTTCACCGGCTTGAAGTGAGGGTCGACGTCAAGGTGGTGGACTGCCAGGTCCGTTGGGATCCCAGGCATGTCATCCACCGACCAAGCGAAGACCTGGGAGTACTCTCTTAGCAGAGCTTTCAGGTCTTCCTTCTCCTTGGCGGGCAACAAGGCTCCAATGCGGAGAACCTGGTTGGGCCGATCTTCCCTTAGGGGGAACTCCTCAATCTCATCCTGGGTGCCCAGCTGTTGGGCCTCATCCCCCGGGATGTAGGGCTCCAGACAGGTTGTCTGGGCGACCACCTTTTCCTGCCCCCGGAGTGTGTCTAGGTAACAAGCCCTGGCTACCTCCGGATCGCCGCGCACCTCGGCTATCTCTCCCGGGGTAGGGAACTTAACGCTGAGGTGATAAGTAGAGGAAACAGCCCGTAGGGCGTTCAAAACAGGTCTCCCCAAAAACACATTGTACGGGGACGACTGCTTGACCACCACGAAGTTAACGGGAACAGTCCGGCACTTAGGGGCCTGTCCTACTGTGACCATCAGGGTGATCATCCCTTCCGAGCTGATGGGCGGTCCAGTAAACCCACCAGAGGTGTCCGGACCGGGGTGAGCTGGTCATCCCTTAAGCCGAGCTCCCTGAACACCCTGTAGAACATGATGTCCACCGCGCTACCCTGGTCGACATACACCTTCTTCACTCGGTAATTGTTGGTAGCAATGTCTATCACGATGGCCTCGTGGTTCCCGGAAGCCAGGGGGACCGCTCCCTTGGTCCGAAGGTAATCTCCTCATCCATGCGCAAGCGCTTCAAGGAGTCGTCCCCTTTGGGGGTGGTCGCTTGTTCTTCCGAGCTGCATGACTGTCCCCCCCGTGGGGCCTCCGGCGATGGTGTTTATCACTCCCGCCAGGTTCTGGGTGTCCTGGTCGGGAGAGTGGCCCCGAGGGGCGTCACGCAGCTCAGGGAGGTCGCGTCGCCGTCCCTCGTGCCTATCCCTGTAGTGGTTGCGTCCGGATCCCTGGCCGGGGCGGCGCACGAACTGTCCTAGAAAGCCTCGCTAGATCAGGTCCTCGATTTGCTTGCGCAGGGCCCAGCACCCCTCCGTGTCGTGCCCGACATCACGGTGGAAGGCACAGTACCTATCCTGGTTCCTCTTGTTCTGGGGCGTCCCCATCTTAGGCGGCCGATCTCCCAGGCCCTCCGCCTCCATGACGGCCAGGACCTGGGCTCGGGGTCGAGTCAGGGGGGTGTAGGTCTTCTCTGGGAGGGCGGCAGAGCAGGGCCCTTCTCCTTCGAGAGTCGGTCGAAGACGTTTTTCTTGGACGGGACGTCCTTGCCCTCTGAGGGGTTTGCCCGACCTTTCCGATCTCCGAGCTCCCGATCTGATTCTTTCTTCAGACGACCTGCCTCTTCCGCATTAGCGGCCTCATGCGCCCTGCGTAAGAGCTCCTCCAGGTCCACGGGAGGCTTCTTGGCCAGGTCATAGAAGAGTTCCTCTACCCTGAGCCCATTTGTGAAGGCGGCCATTACCACTTTCTCGTCTTTATCCCTGACCTGCAAGCTCTCCGCATTGAAGCGGGTCATGAAATTTTTCAGCGACTCGTCGGGCCTTTGCCTGATGGACATCAGGTGGGTTGCGTTCCTCGCGTAGACCTTCGAGGAGACGAACTGGGCTGCAAACTGCCGAGCCAACTCGGGGAAACTCCTTATGGACCCCGGTTTCAACCCCTGGAACCAGAGCCGCGCCTTCCCCTTTAGGAACATGGGGAAGGTCTTGCAGCGGACCTCATCCGCGGCGGTTTGCAGGCGCATGTGCGTCAAGAAGATCGAAAGGTGGTCCTCCGGGTCTGTGGAGGCATCGTACATCTCGATGCTCGGAATCTTAAACCTCCGGGGTAGCGGGTAGTCCTCTATCTCCCGGGTAAAGGGCGAGGAGGCGTAGTTGTCCTCGTATGGTCGCGGCCGCAAGATCTGCTCGAGCTCGTTTTGGACAGGCTTCAAGCGGAGGGGGTCGCGCGATCGGCTCCTGATAGACCGAGAGGGAGGACGGCCCAACCCATTCCGACCAGGCTTCCTCGGGGAGGGGTTCCTCCTCCTACTCCCCACGGACCTGTCGCGAGAGTACCCCTCGCTGTCTCCGATTACCGAGGCTCGTGGGCGAGGTGGAGTCCGTGGTCGTTTTCTCTTGGGGAGCTGTTCTCGTGACTCTCCCTCGGAGGGGTCAGGGGGTGACCCCTTCTCCTTCCCCTTGGCCTTGGAGGTCTGCGCACCCCCAGCCCCTTCTCCCTCCTTCGCCTGCCGGATTATATCTTCCAGCATGGGGAGGTTCTCCGTCACAAACTGGAAGATCTGCTGCCTGCGCTCCCCTGAAAGGGCTGAGCCTCCGGCGCCCCGAGACGCCTCGGCTTCCTTTTGCTGGGATCCTTCACCGCCCCCCGGGCCGATGCTTTCTACCGTGCGCCTGGATCGCGTCCTAGCCATCAGCACAATCTTACTTACCTTACGTTTCCCACAGACGGCGCCAACTGAAGAAGCACGGAACTTCCCCTAGGAGAGCTGACCTGATCAGCTCGGGGTGCTGATGGAAGAGCTATTCCCAAGCCTGCAAAACAAACAAAGATGGACTGAAGAAGGGGGGCCCGAGGGTTGTCCCCGAGGGCACTCCGACGGCCAAGTTAGTTCTCCGGTGAGTAGGGTTCACGGGGAGTGGTAACAGCCGGGGGTAATTGGCCTATAGTGAGCGTACCTTGTACAGTGAAGGTGTGTTATTATTTATACCTATGAAGGAGTCCGACCTCCGCACGTTTCGGGACTTGCCCAGGATAGCCCATATCCCGCACTCAGGGGGATTGCCCCCGACCTCTTCGGGATGGACCTGCGCCCCTCCAGGAGCCCTAGCAGCGAGGCCCAGGCCGGCTGCCGGGGGGGCCCAGGGCCGAAGCCCAGCTCGGCCTTGTCCGGGCTGCCACGTGTCCAGGCCCAGAACGGGGCCACTGCAGGTAGATTTCCAATTGCTGACATTTTGCTCCATGGCAAGCGAAAATAAGACGGTCAATTTTTTAATAGTCAAAGGAAATTGGAAATCTAGTTGATATCGGTCACCGCCGTAAACAAAGCAACTCAGACTGAGTGATTCCAAATGACTTAGACAATCCACTGCTACATGATATTCACAGCCCTTATCGAGATAAAGAGAGCATCTCAGCTTGCGGATATTTGGAAACTTTCTCAACAGCTTGTTGATGTTCTTCCGAGGATTGAGGCTTAGACAGGACAAGATATCTAAGTCACACAACTGTGAAGAGTTGTCAAGGTTGTTCTCAGGGAATCTAAAATGATAATTCTTATCGACCTCGTTCATTAGTTGTAAATGCCTTAATTTCTTCAGATTCCATATAGTATCTGGCAATGAAACTGAACCATGACTCCTAGAATTTCGCCAAATCAAAGTTTCCAAGTTCGTGAGATAACTTATTGATGCTGGGATAGGACTACCATTACCTAGAATTGCCAAGTACCTCAAGTGAACAAGCAGTTCTAGTTCTCTAGGAAAGATGCCTCCTAGTTTAATTTGGCTCAAATCTAACACTTTGACAAGTTTTATGATGTGAAAAATGAATCGAAGGTCAAAACAACTTCTACTGTCTTCATCGTGACTGAATAATAATAGACTGCGTATGGCAGGAGAAAATAACCTCAAGTTGTCAAGTGCTCGACCTTAGAATCAATGCATAAGCGGCGTAGGTAGAATGGCACATTGATATCAGATAGTTTATCATCCCTGCGTACCAGCCGCGAAAAGTTTTCTTCTTTGGCTTTTGTCACGCAAAACTCATACAACAAATCGTGAATGCGACAGGCTTTGACCCCATCAATGGATCTTGGTTTGGAAACTGTGACTAAGCTTCTGATAATAAGTTCCATCAGGTAATCATTTGCCACATCCTCTGATCTCTTGGGATGAGTTTTTTGAACAAAACCTTCAGCGACCCATAGAGAAATCAACCTCTTGGTATTGTGTTCATGGTCTTCTGGAAAGGCTCCAAAATAAAGAAAACATGCCTTCAAAGTATCAGGTAAATGTTTGTAACTCAGCTCTAATGTAGCGGTACATTGTTCCGTACTAGAAACATTCCTTGAACTTAAACCTTCCACAGCTTCTTTCCAATCATGTCGGTCCATCCTTGAGAGAATTCCGGCAAGAATGACAACCGTAAGAGGTAGTCCTTGACACATTTCACGACTTGCTGTCGAATTTCACATAGTTCTGGAGGAGCCAAATCTTGTCCAGGATATAACTTCCCTTTTAGCAAATCCCAGCTCTCATTAGGAGCGTAGTTGACGAAGAGAATATGGTTTATGGTCGAGTTTGTCTTGCGGAAGCAACACCACGGAGCCGACTTGTCAAGATAACTCTACTTCCATTTCCATCATCAGGGAATGAGGCTTCCAATCCGTTCCATGCATCAATGTCCCATATCGTCCAAAACAATGAGATATCTGTTTTTCAGCAAACGTCTTTTGACTTGAAGAGCCAGATCTTCTTCACCCATCTTAAAAACATCCTCAGGAAGCTTGGACTCAATACAAGTCAAAATTTGAAGCAACAGATTTCTCTTGTGATATATTTGAGAAACAGTACACCAAGAACGCTCATAAAAATGGGACTTCACTGAAGAATCATTGTACACTTTTCTAGCCAAAGTTGTCTTACCGCATCCCGGCATACCCACAATGGAAACAATTTTCACTTGGCGTGATCCATTTCTGAGTCCATTGATTATCGATGCCGTCTCATCCTCGAATCCCACCACCACATCATTGACTATTGGCTTACTTCCTTCTTGTGGCATGTGATTGAATCTCTTCGTTAGTTCCTTTACTTCTCCACCAAGTCTTTCGCTACCACAAATCTTCAAGGCTGCAGCTTTAATGATGTTCATTTCTTCTAAAATGGAATGAATGGACATTGAAGAAGAATCAAAGATATTTCCAGTTATTAAGGAGTCAATAAGAAACTCTATCCTATATGCCACCTCAATAATACGATCCCAAATTGCCTGGACCTCCTCGTCTTCATTGTGCAGCTTCACAATTTTCCTCAGCAAAGAGCGTAAACAAACAAGTTCTTCCTGGACTTTTTCAATTGGATGATCGATCAAAGCAATCGAACCAGCCTCAGAACTTGTCACATCCATCATCGTTTCTAGAAGGGAATCAACAAAGCCCAGTCCATTGGTCTTAGGAAAATTGAATGATGATGATTCTGGACACTTCTCTGTGATTACTGCATCGATGAGCTTAATTATTTCCAATAACTCAGAACACACAATATCCATATCCTTGGCTTGTATGGCGTCTTTGATTGCATTCAGAGAGAGTGGGGAAATAAAATCTCCTCCATAACATTTCACGACTCGAGTAGGATCTCTTACTTTCTCATCGAACTCCTTTGGCTTCTCCTTCAAAATGGTTCTCAAGGAATTTAACCCCTCGTAAAACATTTGCAGCTGACGCAAAATCACAGGACAAGTACCATGCTTTAGTTTCTCCCAAAGATTACACAGGAGGGAATGGAAGAAGTCTCTCAACAGATGTTCATCTGTGTCTCCACGTGATTGTCTTGATAACTTTGAAGCAGCCAGGGCCTGGATACAAGTCTCAAGGACTTGATGTTCAATAGGAATAATCTTCTGCAGCAGTTCCGAAATGCTTTCCACGACATCCTTGGGCGGTCCGAAACCTTTCTTAAACTGGCACTTATAAGAGAGGCGTGCTGCATTGATAGCCACAGCTTCAGTGTGAACCAACAAAGGTCCCAATTCTGTGTTTTGAACACCATACAGTTTGACAAAACGGATGACGTTTTTCATGAACGCCAGCTTCTCTTCAAGGGCTTTAATTAGTCCAACTTCATGTGCCGGCCGAATCCATGACCAATAATTCACTAGATTCTCCAGAAGAGAATCCATGAATTCCATGAGGTCATCTTTTCGAACGAGCGAATTACTGGATTGCTGTGACGAGGAACCCAAGAAAAAGACATACCATTCGCAAATTTCTTGTTCGAAGGATTTAATGTCTTTTTCTAAATCATGGACCGTATCCCAACGCTGATCAGAAGATTGGATCTCCTTTGCCCACTTGGGAATGGCATCTCCAATCCGAACTGCCAGAGCTTCTATGCTTGCATAATGATTATCTGTCTGGTTCTTTTTGTTGTTAAATGGTAATTGCACATCATCGTTGCTGTATTTTCTCGCACACAGAAGAAATGTTCTCAGATATCTTAGCATGCGTTTCAGGTACTTCTGCTGCCCATTTGGAAATTCTGGACAATCGTTCTCCAGCGCTTGCAGATTATCCAAGATGGAAGGAATACAAGTGATACTAGTGGAGGCCATCTAATAAAGGAAGATCAACAAGGGAACCAGAATGTATCGATCTCAATTTAAGAGATGAAACAGTTCTCAAATATGAAAGGAGATAAGAAAGATCAGCAAAACCTCAAAAACAAGGGCTCTCTACCCAACATGACAAATAGTCATGGGATACTTCTTGGATGGTTGAAAGAAAAAAACGACCCCACTGCACATGCGTTAGCTAATCTGTTTCTCAAACAGATCCGCCACCTCTTTTGACCACCATCCTATTGGTTTGCTCGAAGCATGTCTGGTCCCCAGCCATACTTACCCCATTCTTCATCCGAGAACCCTGCCTCCTCTCGACTCTCTTCAGCATTCAAAAGGCGCTTGGCGCCCACAATCAAACTTTGGTTTTCAATATTTTTAACTGTTTAGTTGATTCCCTCCCGGTTAATTAATTTCTAGGGATAATGGAGGTTTCTGACAATTTCACTGAACTTCTCTGTGGTTTTGAAAATTACACATATCTCCCTTAATTTGATAATTTTTGTAACAAAATTTTAAAATAATATTGACTTGGTCAAATTTTAAATTGAATATCCAAAAATGTCCTCATGTAATAAGTTTAAATTTACTTCTCTATAAAATTATAAGATTATCTAATATAATTATAAGAAAAGAATAAATTTTATATACACTGACAGTGTATACACTATCACACCGTTGGATTCATGACATGTGTGCAAAAGTTAAATTTCAAATTCAAATTTTGTATAGTTACCATTTATCCAACGTTGATAGTGTATATACTGTCAGTGTAGAAAAGATTAATCCATAAGAAAAAAATGCCCAATTTTCATGTCCAATTGTTTGAACGGTACAGCATTGATTACGCTCTTAACAATCTTATCATCAGAACATTACAAACAGTGTGTTTGGATACCAAAATTATTCCAAACAATATTTCGCTTGCATCACAAACACATTTTCCAACCTACCTTTTTATATTCTCAATCAACTTTTTATCTCACATATATCATATCATAAAAAGTGCTACAGTAATTATTTTAAATAATATTTTAAGTAATAGTACTAGTATCAGTTGGGTTATAAACAGTAACAATAGACTGGTTATAGTGTCAACATGAGAAACTTTGATGGTTTTCATGGTTAAAGAGTGTTAGTGGCGTAATGGACCAGTGGCAGCTCACCACCATCCCTCTTTTGACCGAGATGGTCTTCCCTCGAATCTCTTCTGCATTCAAAAGGCGATTGGCAAACGCCCACAATCAAACTTTTGTTTTCAATAGTTTTGCCTGTTTAATTGATTCTCACGCGGTTAATTAATTTCTAATTTGTCCCTATTTTCCTTTACGTTTTCTGAAGCACTTGAGGGCGTTCATTGATCCGTTTAGGTTTGGATATGTTAGATTTTTTATTAAAAAAATATATATGGTAGCAATAAGATAAAAAAAATGATTTAAAAATATATTTACGAAAAATAATATTCCTTTTTTAGAAAAACACAATTCAAACACAACATAAGTCTTCCAATTTCTTCAAGATTTTGCTCCCCTCCCTTTTGTTTTACTCTCTTAAAATTCCTGCAACATTGGTTTAGTGGGTTCTCATTAAAAAAATTAATTTTTAACAATTTTTTAAATTTGATTTACTTATAACTTTTTAGAAATTGAAAACTGCAAAAGTAGGGCCAGTTAGATAGCTCCAAATTTGCTTAAAACTTTTTAGAAATTGAAACCTGAAAAAGTAGGGCCAGTTAGGGAGTGAAGCTAATCTCTAAATACATAAAGCGCCGAAGGGTTGGGAATAGTGATTTTCGCTGGTTTCTTTGTAATTTGAGTGTTGATTTTGTCCACATTTGTCTTTTTCAGTGTGATGGAACTCATTGTGGGGTCATCTCTGTTTCATGTTTGTCGGCCATAAGTTCTGAATTTTGGTGGCCTATTCCAATTTTACCCTTTTGTGCTAGTTTCGCTGTTATTTCTCTACAGATTTTGGCCTTTTTGGTCTTTTTATTGCAAATAGTAATTTTAGTGGTTAGGTCGCTGCCTGCTTCATATGTCTACCCAGATTTCTTCGGGCCTCTCACGTTTTTTGCAAGAATTTTTTGGGTCTGCCACCTTACGCTAGCCCGCTATGTTTGGGTTTCAGACACAAGAAAAATACCACTATATCCATCCATGTGTAGCTAAAAACATATGACACGCAAACAAAAGAACAACTTTAGCTGCCAAATTATTCTTCACAAGTTAAATAGTACCAACAACAAACAATTAAAAAAATTGATACAATTTACACATTACTAATCAATACTAAATATTACAAAAATCAACACAACCTAGAATAATACACCTCAAATTATGCTATCGTACACACTAAGAAATCCTTTAATTAATCCACTCTCACAACTTTCACTAGCATAAAATTAATCAGAACCAATAATCAAATCACAATTAGACAAATCATAAATATACTGTAAACACTAAAAAAACCAAAAAATTAAAAATGCAAAACAATTAACCACTCTACCAATAGAAAAGCATATCAAAATCATAATCATTCAAAATAATACAAAATATGACAAATTCATACTACATTATAAAAATTATGTTACAAATCTTTACACATGTTCCAATATAAAATACATGTACATATAATTAATAAACAAACAAAGGAGGGTTGGGTTGGATGGTTAGATGAGAGGAATGATAAGTAATAGATTTTAAATCTAAAATCTTCCACTTATAAAAAATAATAAAAAAAAAACTTATTATACCTAGGGCTGCAAACAAGCCGAATCGAATCAAGTTTTGGTCTAATCGAGTCAAGTCTCGACATAATTTTATTGAACTTGAACTCGAGCTCAAACTCGACGAGTTGACAATTTCAAGCTCGAGCTCGAAAAAAATAAAAAATAATTATTTTATTTTTTAAAAAATAAATAAAATAATATTTTTTTCTTAATAAATAATAAAATATTAAGGATATATATGTAATTTTACTATTAAAATTTAAAAAATATAATATATATATACTTAAAATAAAAAATATATATATATATATATACTCGAGCTCGCGAGCCGGCTCGCGAGTTAACAAGCTTAATATTTTGAGCTCGATTTCGACTCGAGCCGCTCGCGAGCGGTTCAATTCGTTTGCAGCACTAATTATACCCCAAAAACACACCCAAAAAAAAAGTATAATATGAGCACCCCGCGACCCCGGGGGACCAATGCCCAGTACTATATCAAGCATGCAATGCATTGGTTCAAGCCAAGCAATGATTGACTAGTACTTAATAATAGTAAACTAACACTTGAATAATATTTATGATGACCAGATTAGTTGAATAATATTAAAATAACACTTGAAATATTATTTGAAATAATTATTGTGACACTTCTGGTGATATAATATATGTAAGATAAAAATTATTTGTTAAAAAGATAAAAAAGTTAATTGGGAATTGTAATTGTGATACAGGCAAAATAGTATTTGTGGAAAATTTTGCTATCAAACACAATAATTTGTATAAACTATTACAATTCAATTTCAAGTATGGTGTTTTCTAACAAATAGAAGTTTTAATGCTTTGAACTGTATTGATTGCCATGTTTATTGCGTATTTGCCTTGCCATCAAACAACTGCTTTTCACATTGAGAGCCGTCTACAATCGCTTTAAGTAAAATTGGTAAGCACCACAATCTCCAATTTTAGTCCTTTGTTTTTAGATGAAGTTTGTCAATACCTACGTTAACTATAAGTTTCATTTTCATAATTTCAGTTTACGACTCCTCTATGATAACTAGTAGTAAGTAGGGCACCACTATTTAAGATTAGATTAGATAACCTCGGAATTAATTATTAGTATTTATTCTGATAATTTTGGTGGTTGTTCATTGTAATGTTGTTGAATGGAATTCCATATGTAGTGATAATTTCAGCATTGCTGCGGCTGTCTAACCAATCAAAAATGGCTCCCTTTATTCGTTAAAAGTTTGAAACGTTTGAATTTGGCAATCGCAAAAACTTTTTGTCAGCTCAATCGTTTTAGCGTTTGTTATACTTTCAATTTCCACACAGCTCATGCACTGGAAAACAGAGGAGCCACATGTCTCAGTCAAAATTAAATTTATTTCACGTGGCAACCAGTAATAGTCCTAAAGTTGTGGGGGCACTACTAAAATAATTGCAAAGAAACGTCATGAAAGTCTTCAAAAGGGGTCCAGTGTCAGTCTCATCCTTTTTTTTTTTAAAGCAAATTTGCGTGGATTCAATTAGATCACATGTATTTGGAACCATGACAGAACATATATTTGGAACCAAAGTTTGCTCGCAAAATTTTTTAAAATCGTTCAACAATATAGTTCTCACGTCAACAATGTGACATCAGTTTCATCTTGGTCATCTTTCCAGCTCGCTAAGGAAACATATTAACACAGTAGCCTTCCTCCGAGGAGTAGGAGTTAGTTATTTTGGCAAAAAGAATCTATGTTTCTCAAGGGGAAAGCATTCTTACAACTCATACCATGCTTTCGGGAATCACTCGTACTATTTACATCTCAATTAACGGAAGCAAAAGCAAGATATTGTCGGCAGCAAATTTATAAGTTCTTTGAATTATATCCTTTTCCTTTGCAGCCATGGGTTACATCTTGATGTCACTACATCCTCCATTTTTGAAAAGTTTTAGCATCAATCTTCATTCTTGGGTGCCATATTGGAATAACTCCACTAATGTCATTCATTGCATTGCTACTAGTATATAGGGGTACGTGAGTTGCATGTTGAAGTACTAGCAATGACCTAACCGATTCAATCAGAGAGAGACCTTCAGCTAACTATGCATTTCCATCAAAGACGTAGGGTAGGGTGAGAATGAATTCAGGCCACAGAGTTTGAATTTCAGTGCAATTTCTTTGGACCCTCAAATTATTGGAGTCGACAATTTGCACCCTAAACTGCTAAAAATTGTCGCCAAAGTAAAAGTTTAGAGTGTGAACTATCACATCCAAAT